ATTTTGTATTTCTAAATTATCAAATATCTTCTGAATTCTTGTATCTGAACCCGATCCTATAGTTGTTTCACCAATTTCTATTCCTACTCTTGAAGTTATATTTTGATTTAAAACTCCTAATAAAATAATAAAAGTTCTATTTAAACTATTATTAAAATGCTCTCATATCCAAAAAAGTGTATTATAAATAACTAGGAATGAAATTATAGCTATTTCATATTGTATACCACTACCATATACTCCTGCTCTAAGTGTTCTAATACCAATTCTAAGATTTTCAAATCTAATCGAATTGGTAGAATTTGGAATTGAATTATTATTTGTTATAATATGAGTATCTAATACTTATAAAAATAAAATAAATTCACAATTTTCAATTCCAAAATTTGTTTTTGTCCAAACACTTTCAAAAATTTGAGTATTGTTTATTGATTGTATACCAACTAAAGTATCTCTACCAATATGCTGAATAAAATTAGTTCTAATTCCAAGATTTAAAAATACTAAAGAAGACATTTTATATTCAATTACTTTTCTTATATATTTAAATTATTTTTAAAAAATTTTAACCTTTATTTATATTTTTTAAATAATATAATTAAGAAAATAAAAAAAATAAATATTAATAAAAGAAAATAAAAAAATATAATATTTTTAAAATAATTGTAAAAAAATAAACAAAAAAAAACAAATAAAAATTAAAATTAAAAAGTATCAAAATTGTTTAAATCTCTTGGTATAGTACCAATATTTTGAATATCAACAGTTATAGTAATAATTATATCAAGTAAATTATCAACTGTTAATTGTGATAATTGTTGATCTTGAGGAGGGTTAATACCTAAATTATTAAAAATTGTTATAATTTTATCTTTGTTATTATTTGCTGATGTTGAAGAAGATACTGTTAAAGTTACTACTTGTCTTCGTAAATCAGCTATTAAATCGTTAATACGATTACTTGTCTTGATATTAAAGTAGTTGTAGTGGATAGAGTTGTAGTAGACATTTTTTTGTTTTATTTTTTTTTATGAATATTAAAGATATTTATATTTTTTATGATTGAGATAGTTGATATAATATTTTAGTTTCATCTGAAATAATTTTTAAGTTTTCTTCATCACTTTTATTTTTATTATAATTAATTTGAAGATTTTTTAAAATATCAACTATCTCTTAAACTGTAGGCTTTTCCAGGCAAATTTGCCTGGAAAATTATCATAAATATGGTTATGATCTACTTTTTT